GGTACGGAGGGGGCCGGGGGGCCCGGGGTTACTGGGGGTGCCGGGGCTCCCGGCAAGGCTGCAGAGCTGACCTGGACCCTGGAGCGCACTGGGGACTGTCCCCAGGTCCCCCCAGTGCATCAGCTGCTCCCCCCTCCACATGCTCCCACTGTCCCTCATCCCCTCTGCCCCATTTCTGAAGGAGACAAGCATGATGTCCGACCCTGCTGGGCTCCACTCGTCTTTCATTTCACCTCCTCCACCACACCCTGGGCCCCTTGGCCACCGCCACCCCCTTTGATGGGCAGGCAGCCCATGAAAATCCTGTTCCCCTGAGTTTTGCACATCCAGAGGCCAGGCTGCCCGTCGTCCCGCTGCTGGGAGCGCAGCTTTGCCCTGGCAGACATCAGAGAGCCCGTGGCGGAAGCTGCCGGTGGGGTCTGCTCTGCCTGAGGCCACCCCTGTCACCAGGGTCATGGCCACCTGCTCCCATCTGCTCCACCGCAGATGGCACAGGAGCTTGGCGTGAGTGTGATTGTCCCTTCAGGGAGGACCTGTGGGTGCGAGAGGGGAAGATCCTCAACCCAGAGAAACTCTTCTTCGACGAGAAGGGCTCTGCCGACATCCAGGTGGACTGCAAGGACAGCATCATCGCCCCGGGCTTCATCGACGTTCAGATCAACGGTATGGTGAAGCCATGTGTGCTCACAGAGGGGTTGGGGGGTCCTGGGTTTGTCCATCCTGGACCTTCAAACCCTGCTGCATGCGTATTGCCCACAACCAAGTGCGTTTCAGCTGCTGGAGGGAGGTGTGAGTCACTGAACTAACGATAAAGAACAATTTTGCCCGTGGTTGCTGCTGGCATGTAATTGGTCCCCTTTGGCTGGGTGGGGTTTTCAGCCCAGCTTTCCTCCTAACCTCATTTTTTCATCAACATTTTATCCTGCCCCTGTGCTGGCAGGATGCCCACCCTGCCCTGTCCAGGATGAGGGGAGGACAGAGCAGGGAACGAACGTTACCTGCACCAGCTCTTCCCTGAAGGGTTTGCTCTACGGTAACTTATGTTGGAAGCTGGATCCTCTCTTTAATGGGGAATCCTCAGATTTTTGCCCTGCATCAAAATAAAAAGTTGGTGCTTGTAAAACGCTGGGACGCTGTGTGGAAAAGCATTTCAGGAGGACAGCATTGGTTGGATTTGTGCTCGCAGAGCCTTGTGAATGTAGGACAGAAGCGCTGCTGGACCCCTTTGCTTCTGGCCAGCAGTGTACAAATGGAGCGGCTCACTGCACTCCCGCGACACGTTTCTTTGGCGTTTTCAGGTGGGGAAGCTGTAGTTTCATTTCTGTTTTGTTCATGGTGCAGGAGGCTTTGGGGTGGACTTCTCCCTGGCTACAGATGACTTCAAATCAGGGATTGACTTGGTCAGTCAGAAAATCCTCTCCCATGGAGTGACTTCCTTCTGTCCCACCCTAGTGACCTCTCCTCCATCTGTGTACCACCAGGTAAGTGACTTCCTCCCCTCTCATGCACAGGGTGATAAAGGGCCAAGGTTAGTACCAACAGAGATTGGGGTAGCTGCCATAGTGGAAAAGCCATGGGCATGAGGAGCTGGACCCTACCCCTGGATTTCTTGCCTGTAGGCCCCGAGAAAGCGATGTCTCCCCGGACAGCTTTGCACAATGGGGTTTTGCACATCTGGCTAATTCTTTGCCAGCTGTGTTTTGGCTGATGGTCCCAAGTGGTCCAGCTAGAAAGCTCTCTGCGGACCCGACGTTTGAGTTTTGTTTTGCCAGGCTGAGGTGCCGTGTCCGGGGTGCCATGCCTGACAAACCCCTTTCTCTAGGTTCTCCCTCAGATCAGCATAAGAAATGGTGGAGCCCATGGAGCAGGTATCCTGGGTAAGTGGGTTTGTCCCTCGCTATCCTCTCTGGTGCTGCTCTCGGTAGGCAATTACCTTGTTCATTGTTAAGCGGAAAAAAGCTACTGTAGGGACAGCACAAACGGGGGCTGGAGCCGTCTCAATGGGAGGGATGCACAGGTGGGCACACACCCGCTTTCTCCCTCAGCCTGTCCCTGGCCTTTGCCATGATCTCTGTCATCCTACACGCACCTCTCCAGTCCTTTGGGGCCCCACAGCATAATGGCAGGGGGGTGGCTT